TAATACACAGCATTCCCACAGTTAATACGTTTGCAATCTCGATAACAAAACACACGCTTTGTATTACCGTCACTACCGTCTGCTCGCTTGACTAAATTATCTGGCTCTATATCTATCTATCTGCAATTATATCTCCGCTTTATTTGCCGGGCTTATATACTGAAAAAGAGTGCGCCTGGAACAGACTAGAGTTGCCAGGAAAGTAATGATCCTCCTAGAAACTCCAGCATGCATGCTTCCAGCGTCGCGTGACTTCCGCTGTCGTAACACTAGGTTATAATTATCTAGTTAACTTAATACACTTAAGGGCTAGTTACTTCGAAATCAAAGTACTGTTACGTCTCTGGACGTTTGTTAATTTTTTGTAGAAATTCTTTCTGAGAAACTTCAGTGATACAAGTGTTTTCTTAAATAAAACTAGTTTATTCTTTCTCAATTCAACTATGCAATACACTTAACTTCCACAGTGACTTAACTTAAACATACGCTATAATTCACAACGAACGATTCACGCGCTTTACATAATACCACGCTTGACTCAATTGTCCATCGCTATCTCTGCCTGTCTGCAATTATCTATATCTATGCCATCACTTCCCCACGGTCTTATACATACGAAATATAGGGCCTTCACGAAAGTTCTAGATACTCATTACGTGTTACCAGAATCATGTGATTACCGCTGTCGTAACACTGCCCCTTCCTTACTATTGTTCGTCCCGAATAATAGCCACTTACATTAAACAAATAGATAATTAACAATAACTTAATTAAATGTACAGGATTTACAAACAATTAAAATTCAACAAAATCTCTTAATTTTACGAGACGTATCTTCTTCCGTACTGGTCTCCTTCTCGTTGGCTTCTGCTTCACGTAATGTTCATCTGTTCCATCAGAAAATATCCTATTATTGGTGACATCAGTGGCAGTAACTTCAACAAGGGCTTCACTGTTTCCCTTCTCAAAACCGGGTAGAGTTTCTTCTTTGACAGTGGCTTTTTCAGGTGACATGTCTTCATCAGCATCATTTGTTCCGTTGTTCACTTCTTTTCAACAGAAATGTCCTGGACTGTGATAATGCCAAAGCCTGTTGGCATGCAACACCTTTGGTATACCTTGCCGAACACATTTTATTCGGAAATTCACGTCAGAGAGACGATCCACTATGTCATATGGGCCTTCCCATAGAGAAGACAACCTAGAAGACTACCATTTGGTCTTCCTGGGATTATACAACCACACCTTGTCTCCTGGTACAAAGATGACTTATGACTCTTATCATAACATAGCTTCATTGAATCAGCAGACTTTTTCAAGTTTGAACGCACTTGATGGTGAATATCATCCATCATTTCAGATAACACTTTCACCAACTCTGACACATTTTTAGGCAACTCTTCATTAGGTGGGCGTCCTGTTAACATATCCACTGGCAACCGAAGTTCCTGACCAAACATCAACTTTGCTTGAGAGTATCCAGTTGCTTCATGCTCTGCTGTTCTATAAACTATCAAGAGTGGAGGGAGTAAGAAATCCCATTCATCTTGGCGGCTATTACAAAACTTTGTCAATTCCTGTCCCAGTGTCCAATTGTACTTTTCTACCATCCCATCGGACTGTGGGTGAGTGGCGTTGTTCTGGTCTTTAGGATGCCAAACAACTTGCAGCCTTCTTGGAACAAAGCTGATTCAATGTTACGGCCTTGATCCGAATGCAGTTCGTATGGCATACCAAATCGGAAGAAGAAATCACTAATTGCCTACGCTACAGTTGTAGCTTGTACCTGTTTCCTGTGCCAGCTTTTGGAGGCTCTCCCTTTTAGCATGGATATACTGCTTTCTGCTCTCTCTTCTAGTCTCTCTTCTTGTTCATTTTCTTTCTCTTCCAACCACTGCTGTAGTCTCTCTTCTTGTAAATTTTCTTTCTCCTCAAACCACTGCTGTAGTCTCTCTTCTTGTTTCTTTTCTTTCTCTTCCAACCTCTGCTGTAGTCTATCTTGTTTATTTTGCTGTTCGAGCTGCCACTGTTGCAGGTTTTCTTGCCACTGCTGTTGTCTTTTATCTTGTTTCTTTTCTCGTTCTTCTTCTTTATTTTCTTTTTCCTCCAACAACTGCTGTAATCTCTCGTCCTGTTTCTTTTCTTTTTCCTACAACCACTGCTGTAATTTCTCTTCTTGTTTATTTTGCTGTTCGAGCTGCCACTGTTGCAGGTTTTCTTGCCACTGCTGTTGTCTCCCTTCTTGTTTCTTTCCTTGTTTCTTTTGTCGTTTTTCTTGTTTCTTTTGCTGTTCTTGAATTGCTGCCATCAAATCTGCTAAGCTGCCACTTCTCGATTCCATCTTTTTTTTTCCATGCC